TTGGTAAGAAACAATTTTATTGATGAGTGAAATTACAAAAGGGATGGTAAAGCATCTGTTGGGATTATGATTTAAGAAAGTTGATTAGCCAAGAGCTGTTCATCTTTAACTTGTTACTGTTGGTGGTGTTAAGTCATAACCTTTATTTCGTTGGTACCCCCTTCTGTTCAGTTATAAAGATCTTGATAACTATAAGAACACTCTGGGGCTTCTGACATATGAGGTCTTCACCTAAATTATCTTGTATATGTCTCTTCTCAGTAATATGATGCAGCTCCTTCTTAAATACAGGCATTGGATTATTGCCATTCTCAAGGGATAATGCACAGGGATGTCAAACCTCATAATGTTATGATAGACCATGAGTTGCGAAAACTTCGCTTGATTGACTGGGGCCTTGCTGAATTTTATCATCCTGGCAAGGAATATAATGTTCGTGTGGCATCAAGGTAATATCCAATAAAGTCAGATTTTGTATTTTTGTATTAGGTGTAAACATTGATAGACAAGTGTTACTTTTTAGTTTCATGAACTTGGTATGATTCAATTCAAACTAAGTTTAGGGCAGCTATGAATCAGCACAGAACTTAAACAACATTAACCTGATAAAGCCCAAATACTTTGTTTGGCAAATTATGCAAATTATCCTTGAAGTATGGTAGTTGTTACTCTTAAATGGTAAGAATTAAACCTTCAAACTTTCATAAAATGAAAAAAAATAGACCCCTGAACTTTCCATGGTAAAAATTAAACACTTTCATAAGTGAGAAAATTGCATCCTTAAACTTCCAATGGTAAAAATTAATCACTCAAAGATGGATCCAATATTTTGAAATAGAAAAAGGGAGAATATGGAGAGAGAAATTAGAGAGAGGAGGATATATGGGAGAGAAGTGCAATTTTCTCACTAATGAAAGTTTAAGTGTTTAATTTTTACTATTGAAAGTTAAGGGGTCTAATTTTTTCATTTATGAAAGTTTGAGGGTTTAATTTTTATCATTGAAATTTTAGGAGCGCAATTTTAACAACTACCATACTTCATAGGTTGTTTGTGCAATTTTCCTACTTTGTTTGATCAAGTGTTTGAGTCATTATGTTTTTTATTCCCCAAATATTAGATTCTTTGAGACTTTATAGAAGATTTTGTTTGTTCAACTTCAGGAGCTTGTTTGACAATTTTCCATCATAGCTTTAGTTAGTTAAACCATGGTGGCCACCTGCTTAAGATTTAATATTCTATAAATTACCTTAGCAACTAAATGTAGTAGGGTTGAACGGTTGTCCCATGAGATTAGTTGAGGTGTGAGCAAGCTGGTACGGACACTCGCGGATATAAAAAAAAACCCACAGGTTTAGTTAAATGCTTGAAAACCTTTTCTTAAATTGGAAAGCTGAGATATTTTGCCATTTGATTTGAGGTTTATAAAGAATGCCTCTAAATTTTTCTGCATTCTTTAAAAGTGAATCTTTTTATCGATTGATGAAATTTATATCTACTTTACCAGATACTTTAAAGGTCCTGAATTGTTGGTTGATTTGCAAGATTATGATTATTCTCTGGACATGTGGAGCCTTGGTTGCATGTTTGCTGGAATGGTGAGCATTTTCTTTTCCAAAAGTTTTGAACTTAGCAAACTGAATTTGCTCAACCCATAAGTTGTGCTTAGCAAGTGTTTCCATATTTGTTCTTATATAGATTTTTCGCAAGGAACCTTTCTTTTATGGCCATGACAATCATGATCAACTCGTAAAAATTGCTAAGGTAATGTATGTAAAGATTTTCGTGGAAATTACAAGTATTCTCTTGTACATTGGTCTTTAGGATAGAATAGAATCTGAATAAAGGATGTAACTATTGATGTTGGATGCACTTTCAGGTTCTTGGGACGGATGAATTGAATGCATATTTGAACAAGTATCATCTGGAGCTTGATCCTCAGCTTGATGCACTTGTTGGGAGGTATGTTTAAAATTTGATCTGATTTTATATTTCTTTGTCAAGTATTTTAAATTTCAGCGAGTGGTTTGGTTCTTGTGGAGAAGGAATGAGTTATGTTCCAAGATATGATTAATTTATTGAAGAATAATTTTTTTTTAAAAAAATCTATTGTAGAATAGGTAAGTAGTGAATGAGGGATCAAAATATTGGGCACTCAAAAGTTTTGAGGCATAAATTGTAATGCCCGTGCTTTTAAGCTTGTCAGTTAAGTTTTGGTGGTTGCCTGTGTAATCTTAGATTATATTAATGCTCCATGAGTTTTTTGATGTCAAATATTGTTTGGTTGGGTTGGTTTGGAGGTTGTGGTCGGAGACGAATAGTAGAATTTTTCCAAGGCTGAAAGAGTGATTCTTTGGGAACGCATCAGAATTTTTTTTGTCCATTTCAGCTTCTAATACAAAGGACTTTTGTAATTATGGTGTTTATCAAAATTTTGCCAATTGGGTGTCCTTTTTGTAACCCCTTGGCTTGTGGGGATATCTCATCTCCCCTTTTGTATTCTCTCCTTTGTATAATGAAGCTTAGTTTCTTATGAAAAAAAATAAAATTTTGGTTATCAGATCAGTCAAGCTGTGTGCTGTGCGTGTTCTTATCACCTTGGATACCCATGTTTACTTAATATATAGTAGATTGGGATATTTATTAATTAGAATCTATTCGCACATACTTCTGCAGGCATAGCAGGAAGCCCTGGTCTAAATTTATCAATGGAGACAATCAGCATCTTGTTTCTCCAGAGGTAATTCATATTATGCTTTGGAAAGTAATGGCACATCTAACACCAGTTTACTGCTGAATGCAGCCATACTTATTCGCTGACATAGATACTTTCTTTTTTATATTAAAATTAATGAATATTTTCAAGAGAAAAGGATGTCATCCAAAAATCTAAAAGTCTCAGTCTTTGCCAATAAAATGTTAGAAATAAAAAGCAATCTATTACAAAGAATTTCTTAGTCATTATATTTGTTTCAAATATGCTTGTTTTTTTCTACCCAAGTAATCCAACTAAGAGCTGAAGATGCACATACCTATGTTCTTTTTTTTCTAAATTTGGAATTTTGTCACTACTTGAATGCAGGCTGTTGATTTTCTCGATAAGCTTCTTCGCTATGATCACCAGGACAGGCTTACAGCGAGAGAAGCTATGGTATTTGAACTCTTATCATTTAAATTTTGCGTCACCACATTTGCTAATTAAGAGCATGTTGATCCTATTACCCCGGTCCTATTTCAAACCTTTTTGGAACCATTGATGCATTTGGATTTAGGCGAGTAAAGAGTTGTTACTTGTTTGTATGAAAGGATAGTAAGGTTACGAAATACATATTTTTACGAGATTCTGCTTCTAGATTTAGTCCAGGTTAATATAGTCATCTTTGTATTCCTAGTGTTTCTTTGTTATATTATTTATAGGATACAAGTTTTCTTTTTCTTTTAATACAAGCAGAACTCATTGGATTCGAGGATTATTAATACTATATTGTTGTTTAAGTTCCAAAATAGAGTAAAGATGTATTTTGCTGATTCTGATCTTGAAAGATTTCCAATATATATATATTTTTAATTTCATTACAAAAAGGGTTCAGTATTAGACTCATACCAGATATTTGATTTGTTACCATAGCATATTCGGTGATGCTAGGCGTGTGTTTCTTGTGCAGGCACATCCATATTTCTCTCAGGTGAGAGCTGCTGAAAGTAGCAGGATGAGAACGCAGTAGTAATTAGATTATTATGTGGAGTATCTGCATAAACTGAAGAGTGATGTCAGTTATTGGATGTTAAAGTGGTAGAAGTATGAGCTGCCCTGTATTATAGTTAAGAAATTGAAGCTGAAAAATGATACCTTAAATATTATTTTTAAGTCGCTTTTCTTGTTTTCATAATGGACCGTAAACCCCCCGAGCTTATTCTTGTTCTGGAGTAAAAGTAACTATATACTGTGTGCAAATTCTGAAGCAATACTTTAATACTTTTTCCCAGTTCATAATTTCTTTCAAGATCTCTAATTTATTTTGAAGATGGCGTAAGGATTTTATTTTATTTTTTTTTTTTTTTTGAGTATGTTCGACAAGTTACTTTTTCAGCTCTGTACAAATGGTGCAATGATAACCCACTAGTAATATCATTTAGATGTTATTCCCTTTCGGCCGGAAAATTTTTAGGTTCAGTTAGTTTAGATTCTCTTCTAAATTTAAAATTGATGGGTGGGGAAGGCACAATCTTAGTTGCCCTGCCTTGTCATGTCCAATTAAAAACTTATCGAGGGCCAAAGTCCAAAGATATATAAAAATTAATCCACAAGATTACTCTTTTTGCATCCATCTTCTCTCTCACTTGAAACTTAAGAGCAAATGCGATGGAAAGCGAACTAAGATGCCCAGTGAGCCCATTTCCATCATTTTCTATTGATATTATGACCAACAACAATCAACCACAGCATTGAACGTCATGAATCATAAATCAAATTCTACTGATTAAAAAATTTCTAAACCGAAATAAATGCACTACTTGATAAGATCTTCCTTCCTTTCAATTGATTACCAGTTAAACAAATAGAAAAACCACTCAAATGACAGCCAATGAAGTCTTAGGATACAAATATATATATTAAAAAAAACTCACGTCATCGATCACTACAAATTGGTCAATTTCAAATTTTGCAAATGAGTGAAGATACCAGAGCTAACAAATGTAAAATCGACAGAATCTAAATCAAACCACCCTATAACGAGTTACTATATGCCAGTCCAATAAGATCATTGAAAATATACCACTAATATATTGATCCAAAGTCAAATTTCTGTTACATGAGAGCAATACCTTAAACAATTACATACTAAACGGCACGCACACAGAGTACATGTTCAGAAATCATGGATCCTGCTACTGAGTCGAAAAGGCGAATCACAGGCAAACAACGAGGCGAGGTTGCTACTGGAATGTGCCTCAGACACCATTCTTTCTTGTTTATTCTTTCATTTTTTAAGATGTGGGAAACAAGTATAGACGTCAGATTTTGGGTGCTTTGCCTCGGCGTGTTCCCTGCATTTGACCTCTGACGTGGTGCAGATAAAGGTTTGCATGCATACCTTGCACTGCATTCAGTTTCACGAACAATGCTTGAGCATTCCCTCACCCCATAAGACAAAAATATTTACGTCCACAATACTAAAAATCGTGGTAGAAATATATCTCCATGGCAACTAGTGCAAGAGAAAATTAGCAGAACTGAACTAAACTAATTCTATTACATGTTAAGGCCCTACAGATTCAAAATACGAAGTTAAAAAGCCATGGGGAAAGGAAAACAAGAATGAATGTCATAAAAGCTTATACAACGGTCGTAAGCAATGCCAATATATCATTCATTTAAATCCTCTATCAGCAAGAATGACATAGGGCTCGGAAAGTCACAAGCTTTTAAAGGATAATCTAGTCAACAAACCCATGGATTACAAGTTCAGTTCACATACTTCTATATCTACAGGACAGAATGCAGTTCTTTGAAGGTTATCTTGAATTTCAATTATCATAGTTCAAGTTCTATGTTGCTCGAGCTCAAATGATATAAGAAAATTCACCAATTGACAAGCATGTAAACAAGATACACCAAAAGAAACGGTTAGGAAGGATAGTCGTGGAATCAAGCACAATAAAACACAGAGAGGCCAAAACATTATTTCTAACAGGACATCTGAATGATGGAAGCACAAATCATTTCTTCCATTGTGGCCTGAGCCTATGGGCATGTTAGCATCTAAACATGTCAGACATTAAGACTTTGACTTTCAAGAAGTTAGCATGCTTCAAACCATCACTAACTGGAGGCTATAGCCATCAGAAAATGATGCAACGCCTCCCTAACAAAGACTGAACGATGGAGCTGTGAACTCCATATTCCATAACATAAATTTTATCTTCCTGAAGGATAACTGAAAGATTAACTTCAGTTGGACACCAGCCTACCATTCGGATGTAAGATAACCTTATCATCTCATCCAATAAAACCTCCTATTGAATGTGACTCAATACTGAAATGTGACTTAAAATATAAACTATTCTGCACCATCAAAAAGTACAGCATAAGCTCGAAACTAAAGCATACGCTGTAGAAAGAAGAAACAATTCCTATAAACACAAACAAAGATCGTTATGGACAAGTGAACTCAGTCATCCTTATACAAAGAAGATAACTCCAAGCACTGAGAAGACAAACCTGAATAGTCATTGCTTTCTTGTTTGATTCAAGCTGACTTCCTGAGAATCACAGGCAATGAAAACTTTCAAAATTAACCCGAATAGCCAATGAAAATAATATAACCCAATAGCTGTCTTCCCCACCCCACCCCCCTATTCTCGGGTGAGAAAATCAGAAGAAACGATTAGAATTATTTCACCCTAACACAGTCGTTACTTTGATTAGTGCCAAGAACAAAATAACTAAAGGCGAAGAATTAGAGAGAAAACTCACCCTTAGAAGCTTTCAGCTTCTCCATGTTCTTCTCGCGAGCCATCTTCGCTTTCTGGCCGTTCCCCCCTCCCATTTCTACGAGGAACCCCGAGAGAACCTCAATAATCTGAAACCCTAATCCAAAGAAAAGATTGTCCTCGCTCGGAAGGGGTCGGAACTCGGAAGGCGCAATCAATGCGGTTAGTTTATCTTATAGCTGGAGCTGTCAGATGGATATTGATCAAATCACCCGCATAAAGGTCACGGACCAATGAGATGAGGCTAGAAGATTTCTTTTTTTCTTATTTTTTCGAGGCATCAATTGAACTTTACTTATGCTTTGAACCATTTACAAGCAGAATAAAGGTCGCTTTTTCATTATTTCA